TCCGACTCTTTCCTTCACAAGACAATGCACAAAAGTTCCAAACATCGGAAAAAAAAAACAGACGCACAGTTTGCACCTCTGTTAATCACACCCAGTTATACATCAAACACCAGTGCTCACGCACACGGAAACACGAGGTGCTGGATTTACCCGCTCAATGGTAGCATGGGCCAGCACAGCCGTCACACACACACATAGGGAGATTGTGCGGATTTACATACACACTGCTCAGGCCCCTTCTGAATTGGCGCATAACTGCGGATTAAAATACGCCCATGCACACACACACACACACACACACACACACACACACACACACACACACACACACACACACACACATAGACACACAAATAGAAGTTGATAGTTCAGATGAGGAAGCGGTGGTGACAGCTGTGAAACTCATAGACAAAACTAGGCAGGAGGAGCCATTCACACACACTGAGATGTTTAGAACTCCTTCTCCATGGAAAAGACTAGAATAGCACTAAAGAAAGCAAAACCAGGCCATGCCAGCACAAATCTCCCTCTCTCTTTCTCCCCCTTATATCCCCCCCACGCCACAAATAATGGAAACCTCTCATTCGGTCTTTCCATCTAAATGACAGAATCATTTTTTTAGAGCCACCACACACACAGATGCGCACACACAGTACAGCGATCCAATAATCTCTCTGTCCATCACTAACTCATTTCCTCATCACCTTAACTGAACTGGCTGTCCGACAGATTTCTCTCTCTCTCTCTCTCTCTCTCTCTCTCTCTCTCTTTCTCTCTCTTTCCCCCCTCTCCCTCCCTCTCTCTCTCTATTTCATGAATTAAATATGCACCGTTGGCTATTTTTCTGTAGGGCATTAAGGCTCAAGTAAACTATCTAATTTAACTAATGGCCCCAGAGGTAACGCAGTCTGTTGGACCAAATCCATCGGGAATCTATTTTTCTGTGGTTTTATCTAAATTCTCTCCATGAATTCTTCCTTTACCATAGCAAGGTAGTACTGTAGTACTCTACTTCCCTTGCATGCTTTTTAACCAAGTTGACAGTAATTTCCAATTAATAAGTCATTTAATCCAATTGATTAATGGCCCAAAATAAAATGTTAGACATTTTGTTCAAAAAACTTGCAAAATGGTATAAACGCAGCAATTTTTCACGTCCTCTAATGTGCCGATTCACACTTGTCTTCTTTCAAATTGAATATTGCATGGAAAGAAAAATGAAGCCAACTGAAGCTATGACCTCAGGTTTAACATTGCAGATATGGCTATAGGACATCATTACAGGACACAGTTAAAATGGAATGACAGACCTTGCAACAATGGAGTCATTTTTGATGAAATTTGGATCCTCTTCAATAAGAAATTGCACAACTGCACTCAAAAGTGGTGGTAGTTGTTGTTGATTGCCAGCAAGATTTTATAGAGGGGGGAGGTCCTGCTTCTTCATCCATTCATGCTCAAGCACTATTTCATTAATCTTTACAGCCATGATAAATCAAATGTACTGTACTTCCGTGATAGCAACGGTATTGTATGAAGAGAAGTCTGCCAATGTACAATACATGATTTGAGGAAGGCTCATTCGTAAGCCCTTTTCTCTCATATGTTATGCATGGATTTTAACACAGTGCAGGGCTAAAACCAAACCAACCTCGAAGTGAGGACTTAATCTGGCTGCAAAAATCAACGGGACTTTCTGAGCGTAAGTAATCACGAATACACACAAACACAGACTTCCACACACACTCTCTCTCTCTCTCTCTCTTTAACACACGCATGTGCAGAATCATACTAACCGCCCTTATAAAGCAGAGGAGCATTGCCATGCGGCGCACGATGCTGAAAGGGCCAAGAGGCAAGCGGACTCCCCTCTTCCTTGTGCATGCTGATCATGAGTGAGAGAAATAAGAGAGGCAGAGAGAAATAACAGAAGAGCAAGAGCGATGGACAAGGCACGGGTGCCAGGTACTCAACCGCTCAATCATATCTGATGCCTGCACACATAGCAAGTTAAAAGCATCTGCTGGTCACTCCTCTTAATATTGCTAAATAAACGCTTCTTAGTAATAGGAGGGAACAGGTTTTCAAAGTAGACAACCAAAAAGGTGGTAGAGGAATAAGTCGACCTTCTCTCCTTTTCTCTTCCCCTGGCTTCTCTCCTTCGTTTTCAATCTTCCATCTTTTCTGCCTTTGATGTACGTCTCCCTTCGCCATACTCGCTCGCTCTCTCTCTTTTTTCCTATCATTCCATCTTTAGCGGCAACGAAGAGATTAAAGAAGGATTACTTCTGACATGTCAATGTGATGCGGCTGCTGGGTATAGCAGGTTTTTTTTTCTTTCTCATGCAGTCCTAAGTCAATATGATGAGCATGCACACACACACAGACAGACAGACTGAGAAAGAGAGACATAAAGAGACAGAAACAAAGAGACAAGTCAGCATTGCAAGAGTGGGAGAGAAGATGGTGGAAAACATTATGACAAAATCATTACATATGGCTTATTTCTCCATTAAACAATACCCCCATATGTGTAAAAAACAATGCTAGCAAATCATAATATTCCTTCCTTGCACTGAGTCCATACCCAGGTTTTTCTGCTGGTTTTAAGGCAGTGAGGATCAGGAGCGGTGAGTGAGGAATGGAGTGTGGGGCCGAATACGGTAAAAAAGTAGTATTGTTTGGGGGGGGGGGGGGGGACCCTTTGTTGGGATTCAAAGTACTTGTGTAAAGCTAGGAAATGAACTATTGATTAGAAACACGGTGGAAGGTAGAGAGAGGAGAAAAACAGGAAAATCACAAAAATCCCACCAACTAACCGCCCACATTGATTCTTTGTCCACACTTACATGCACATATTCTTGTAAATGCAGAGGAAAAAGCTGTTCATGGTCACACTGCTCACATGGAGTTGTAACTTCGAATGAATTCAGTCAACCAATAAACTACACACTGCTTTCACTGTCTTTTCTACTAATTGGAAACCACTCACTGGCCTGGTTTGCACTACAGGGTCAAAGAGGAAGAGCAGAGATTTCTCATTATCCATGTCACTAAATTTGTTCCTCAACTAATGATGTGGAGTGTGTATGGATTATATTGCAGAACTGGGGGAGATTCGAGGTCTTCTACTTGTAATACACTGCACTATATCTATGCATCTTTATGTTTACCCTCCTCTATAGACAGAGAGCCAAACCTCAAGTAAGCTTCCGTGTTACTCGTCAACCGCTTGGAGCCTAGAAACATGCCTGCAAACTATAATGTTTCCCTAAATACAATCAATAGTCAACATATAGAGATCCCTGAAATGCTTCCAGTAGCTGACAAGGACCTGTGCAGTTTGCCTCCCCGTCTCAGTAAGCCTAACCTGCCATATCGCTTACACTGTTATCTAAAGAAACTAACAGTGTGTGAGCTTGTTAAGTTCAAATGTCTTGCTGTGAGACACTTGCAGAACACCTGGTCGCCGCTGGGATCAAACCATCCATTCACAAGGCGATCTGTCGAACGAGTGGATTACATTGCCGAGCACCGCAGCCTGCAACTCTGTGCGTAGGATGACGCTTCCGCAAACGAATGACTTATGCTACATCAGCCTTACTGTACCGCAATGAAATGTCTGTAAGAATATCTGAAAACAGAACTTCATGACAGGAACCTAAAACTATTTGTAAGCATCACTTGTCGTGTTTGGTCTCTCTAAAAAGTGCGTTTAACCCGATTTCACAGGTACCCTCTCCGCATTTCCATGATAGGCAAATTACACAAAACACAGTTTATGCACCTGTTGGCCATGTTGTTATATGAAGCATCGGCTTGGTCTCCAGCCCAGACAAGACCTCAGACCGATCCAGCTTTGAGGTGGTGGCTGAAAACCGCCTCGGGTCTGCTTTGGAATACCAGCAAATCAGGGCCTATGGAGCCAACAGTCCAGTACTCTCTCTCTCTCTCTCTCTCTCTCTCTCCCTGGAAGCCGAACGCAGTGGTGAGCGTGTTGGAGTGGGGATGTGTGTGTGTGTGTGTGTGTGTGTGTGTGTGTGTGTGTGTGTGTCTGTGTGTGTGTGTGTGTGTGTGTGTGTGTGTGTCTGTGTGAATATGGACGGGCTCTTGGCCATGTGCATGATGCAGTCCAAAACAGTGGACAGGTGCTTATCTTTCTGATGGTGTGCGCGCGTTTGGTCATCGCTCTCACTAACGCATTTATCTCTCCCCCTCTCTCTCTTTCTCTTTCTCTCTCTCCCCTCTCTCTGATAGAGGCCATCAAGCTGCAAACGATAACTTGTGCCCCACAACCACCTTGCGTTCTCCATCACATTCTGCAAGACCCGTTCTCCAGCCCCCCCCCCCCCCCACCCCCTCCCTCTCTCGGAGTTGCTAACATCGCCTGAAAGAGAATACGCTCCCTGACATCGGAAAATCACGCACGACACAACAGTGCCACACACAAAGCTGGTGGCGGAAAACGTCACCCCCCTCCCCACCCCCTCTCCCCCAGGCACTGCAGTAGGCCAGCTCACGATGGAAGCTGGCAATGCCATTGTGCTTCAGCAAAAAACCTACAAGTGGTACGCCCCCCCCCCCCCCCCCCCCCCCTCCCGGCGTCATCACGACCACCCGAAACCACCTGTTTTGCGCACACGGCTGTTGTCGCCGGTCACTCCGGGGAGCCGCTGCACGCCCGCCTCAATGATCCGACATGCAACTTTAACACAATACAGTTTACGTGGTCGACGCAATTGGTACCCGATAAGCCCGGAACTCAAATGCAAACTTCATTCAAACGCTGTCCGTAGTGGCGCAAAACGTCGTTATTTCACTGGGGGGCTTGGAGATGCCACCTTTATAAACCAAAGGGCGTCACGCTAGTATCGCCATCAATGGCATTTCAGCAGCGCAGCGCCCATCATGGCTGTAAAAGCTCCCATCCGTCCCCCCTCGAGACGCACAGAGATCCTTATTGTGGCCGCGAGTTAGAGGAGAAAAGCGCAGTAACTCACCGATGTGGATGATTGAATCTGAGGACGCCGACTTCAGCTCCTGGCTCCAAAAGACGCCAACGAGCAACAGAGCCGAGATAACTTTCATGTTGTCCAGATACACCTCGTCCAAAAAAGCAATAGAGAACCAAAGCTCTCTAAATGAGAGCAAAATGAGTTAAAATCCGGAGCTTCTCTTTTTATTTTTAGTCCATCTGTAGGGCGGTCTAGGAAATTCCCTTTAATCCCTTCCTCAATATATGTTTTTATCTCATCGCCGGAGTGTGCTGAGGATAATGAGTAGAGATTCCCGGCTTGGCACGGACTGGCACCCTGTTGAAATCCCTCCCAACATTAAATCATAATGTGGGCAACCGGAGAGACGAGGAGCCGCAGAGAAAACAACCCGCATCCACGCGTCGGTTTGCGTTAAAGCCAAGTGAGAGGCTGGAGGACGCAGCCGCGCATTAAAATGGACCAATCTGGAAGCATTCGATGGCGTCAGGGGGGAAAGCTCGGTCTCTTGAAAAGCGGGTCCTGTTGTAATGACCCGTGATTCCCAGCCTTTCAGACTTGGCGACGCAGTTTCCCCGCTGCACCAAATCACCAAACCAACAGCAGCAGCAGCAGCAGCCTCAGCGGACCAAGCCGACGGACAAAACTTCCATTTCCCCACAGGCTTTAAAAGACAACTCCTCTCTTTACGCTCAGCCTCTCTTCTAATGTCACCAACGCCTAAACACACCGACTTTAGTTGGAGGGAGGAAAGAGGTGAAAAGCTTCCTCACATGGCATTACCACGGAGAGGTGCCATATTCCGTGATTGTCTCTAGTTTCCTGTAGAGAAGACAGCAGCTGGGCTGGGGGGGAGCTCTTGCGCAAACAATGAACTAGAGCTCCAAAGTCACACTTCTTTTTCTGCGTCAAAAAAAAATAAGCATCCGGAGGGGCGAAAAAAAATGAACCGAGGATGTGCGCAAAGACACTCCGCCGTCCCCACTCCACGCTCCGCAAGCGGAAACTCGAGGCAGCCCCGAGCACGCACGGTGGCTGGTGAGGAGGAGGTTGGCCGCGTCTCCGTGGATGAGAGAGAGAGAGAGGGAGGGAAAGGGGGAGGGGAGGTTGGGAGGGGGGGGTGAGAGACAGGGAGGAGATCCGGGAGAGAGAGAGAGAGAGAAAGAGAAACAGGCGGCGAACACGAGCAGTCAGCGGTTGCCAGGTCGGGCGCGCATCTACTGTCAGGAATTACCTTGGTGAAGGAAGGGGGTCTTGCAGAGAGACGCAGATGAACAGATCTGCCAACTTCAGCTCAGCAGCAGCCGTCGATCCGATAACTCACCTCTACAAGAGCGGGTCGTGGGATACTAGTTGATTATCCCTGATAATATTTCGATACGTCTGGGTCGTCTTCTGGGCGCTCGTATTTTATTTTCCGTCATAAACTCATTTCCATTGACTTTACTCTACTGCAGTTGGAAGAGGCTGCATATTTCATTCTCCTGATGAGGACACGTTTGTTTAAATCACTCACAGTCATGACCAGGAGAGGATGCATCCAACATTCCTCTTTTGGACCCTTCAAATATCCAGTGAGCATATGATCATTCTTCTTAATAACTCACTGTCCACCGCAAATAGCTTCCCTTTCTTTTGTGCAGTTGTTCTATCCACAACCACATGTATCCATCTCTGCCTCCCAGAAAGACCAGAATCTCTGGGGTTCCCATAATCTGCCCTAGATTTTGGATTAGAGATTAGGAGTGTGAGAAGCCATAGGATTGACTGTTTTGTACGCATTCAAGGAACGAGAGATTACACTCACAGAGATACGGACGCCGTGAAAGCTCTGCTCACTATTTGATGCTATTTCTGCTATTATTACATGTTTATATAACAACACGGTTGAAGAGGAACATCTCTTTAGCAAGTGAGCTGTATAATACAGAGATAAGAAGCAGCCAAGATAAAAGCATGATATTTCAATATTCAATGTTTGTACTGGAATTAAAAGGAAATACTTACAAAAGGTGGTTTGCATATCACTAATAGTTTTTACTTTATTACTGAGCTCTGAGAGAAATTCTACTTTTACTATTGGAGGGTTTTTGGTTCTTGCGCTACTTAAAATAAACATAAAACAAGTGACAACTTTGTGGCAACTAACTCGATTCCAAAGTGCAACCCATTCAGAACAGAGTCCAATTTACAAAAGTCTACGTTACAAAAGATGTCGTAATTACTAGATAGGACATTTCTTTCTTTCAGGGCGGCACGGTGGCGTGGTGGTTAGCACTGTCGCCTCACAGCACGAAGGTCCTGGGTTGGACTCCCAATGGCCTTTCTGTGTTGAGTCTGCATGTTCTCCCCGTGTCTGCGTGGGTTCTCTCCGGTACTCCGGCTTCCTCCCACAGTCCAAAGACATGCTCTGGGGATCAGGTGGATGGCGGACTCTAAATTGCCCGTAGATGTGTGAATGGTCGTTTGTCTCTGTGTAGCCCTGCGATTGGCTGGTGACCAATCCAGAGTGAACCACGTCTATTGCCCGAAGTTGGCTGGGATGGACTCCAGCCCCTTGTGACCCTGTGTGCAGGATAAGTGGTTTGAAGATGGATGGATGGACATTTCTTTCAGTTGCTTTGTTACATTACAAAACATGCAAGCTTGATTGCTTTTATTTGATATTTGAGTTGTCTTATACATTTTACATATGATAGGTGCTCATGTGATAGCCGTGGTTCTTGACGAAGTGGGTTTATAATGATACTATGTGAAATGGAATGTGTGAGAGACATTATTATACTGCACGTCTTGTATATAAATGAGAGCTGAGGACAATATATTTGTTAAAAACCATTTGTTCACATTGTGGAAATGTGCCCTCGAACTTCTTGACCATGCAGTATCCCACTCAAAGACATTCATCACCAAACTCTTGAATATCTGTCGAAAAAGGTGTCCTGTTGTTCATTGTGAAGCCTTGAGTAAAGTAAGATCTCTTACTTAATGCTAACAGAGCACCATATCTCTCCTGTGTGCTGACTATAGATCGGTCCTAATCCTTCTAGCAGCGGTAGGCTGAAAAGCTGAAGACGGTGTCGATGTTGAAGAGTAGGTGTGCATGATGTGACCTAGCAAAGGACACACAAACACATCTACTGACACTGGTAAACAGGCTATTACTGCACAATATGTACAATATGTGGGTGTTATTGAGTGCAGTTTACAAGCTCTAAAACGTAATTTCAGGATATAAAAATCATTGACTCTTTATGGCTCTTGCAAAGCCTCCAGCATCAGTATTGTCTACTAAATGTCAATACCACTTGATTATTCAGCCCTCCGTCTACCTCTTTTTTGACACTTTGAAAGAAATAATCTTTCCATAGTAATCACCATTAGTGACAATTTAGCGTCTTATATCGAAGAAAATTTGGGTAATACAAGTTTTGCACTCACACACATTTATGACTTGTAGCAGATGTTTTACCTTTTCTTTATTTTTTTTCTCCGCCTACTCTCTTCCCCGGGGAGCTGTTGTCCCAAACAGCACTGGCTGGTTTTCTCAGCGATCACTGCTGATAACTGAACACAATTAAAAAGGCAAAATTGTCTTTGTCAAAAGTGAGAGCTGTGAACACAAAATGAAACAGGGTAACTTTCCATCATACAAAGACACACAAAGAATGCATACAGCACATAAACACACACAGGGGATTAAGTGTCTCATAGGTCCTGTTGTGCCCGTCATGCAACATTAACTACTAAGCTTGGTGTCATTAACGTGACCTCATTGTTCATTAAAACCATTAATTGAACGCCATGTGTAATAAAGTAAAATATGTAAGCTCCTAAAACCAGAGAAAGAGAAAAGATGATGAGGACAGAGGTTGATTAGCATATGTGCAATAAGGAGATGAGAGGTAAAACTAGAATGTGCTCTCTGTAATGTGCAGCTCTCCACCAGGTGTGTGTCTGCAACAAGCACTAGTGTATTGTTTGGTTAAATAAATACAACCCATAATTGGCTAATCCTGTCTAGACACTAATGGGCTGTAAAGTATGATTTCCTCTCCTGGACTGACAGAGGTTCCAAACCTTTGCATGAATGCTCTCGACGGTGTTTCGATTCATTCTATTAAGAAAAGCTAAGAAAAGTATGAATTTGAATGAACACCATTAATCACGTAATCTTGCCCCCCCCCCACAAAAAAACCACTAGTGTGTTTAAGTTCTGTTAGCTGTTAGACGAGCACACCGCCAATAACAATACTATTTATATATTAGTAGGACCATAGCATGTAACAAATACTATTCATTTCTAAATAACGTAAGCTGAGAGATTTCAAAATGATGTCCCATAATAATCACAATTTTAATAGTGTTGTTGCACATTTTATTTCTGTCTGCTTGTCACACACATTCGTTTCAGTTTAGACCATTTTCTTACTTGCATTGTCCTTTTTATTGTCCCATTTATCCCATTCATTGTCTTACAATAAAATCACAGAACATTTGGTCTTTCTTAAATTCTTAGCCGTAATAATTTACAAAGTTGATTGAATTGAACAAATCATCAAATATTGAACAAAGAGTAGTAGTATCAGTGGTATTTTTTAATATGAAAATGACAGCAAAACAATGCATATTAGAAAGTATAATAGTTTTGGACCAACCCATTTGTTTGGCTGCTGCTCTGATCGTATAATCTGGTTGAAACGTCACCTTGTAAACTGTGTCAGTGTCGGTGAGATTTTATCCAGGTTACACGTGAAAGCCTTTTTATAAAACCTACAAAACAATACACAAACGCACACGCTGGTTGGAAAGAGCAGAGAGGCATGCATATAGGCCTGAGAGGAACAAAGGGTAATTCAGGTGTAAGCTGGGTGGCTTGTTAGTATGCATGGCCACTGCTGTCGCTCTCAAGGACATTATCATTTCAAAATAGACAGAGGTCTGTATCTGTATATCCATGTGCACAGATTTGTATGTGAGTTCAGTTTCAAAGTAGGAGTGTATTGGTTAAGTATTATAATACCAGTATTTATGAAGCAATATGACAGTAGAGTACCTAAATTGACACCTTTCAGCCTTGTGGTGATTTATATT